GTCCCAACCAATGGCCTTTTACAGGCCTGTTTGTGAGCAAACCAGGGGATCAAGTTCGGTCACTTGGGCAGCTTATTCCGTTCCAAAGAGAAAACACTGGTTGTTCGAGTCCAATCGATCGGCGCCAAAGTGATACAAACTCTTAAGTAAACTTATACTGTTTTGTTTGAGTTTGCTCCACGACATCATCACTCAGCCACAAATGCTTGCTCACATTTGCTCACTGTTGAAGGTGAGGAAGTTCCATGAGTTCAGTTTCCGGATGCCGTTCTTCTGGGACACTCAGCTTTGGGTCATCAAAGCTTCGCGCTTCTGCCAAAGCCGTCTGGTCCGCACACCACAGGTGGAAGCCATCCTTCGCTAGCTCAAGGTGTGACTGAATTGCCAGGCCGAACCGGGCTCCCCTCGTTGGAAACGGCTCGCCAGCTGGGCACACGACGAAGACTCGTCACCAAGGTCATCTCCCAAGGCACATAACAATTCTCGACGCAATTTTGTTGGATGTCAAGTTTGTAAGTAGTTTTGGGGTCGCGGTCGGAGCCGCTTTGTTATTTAATGTTATAATAGAAGTTGGGTCATCTGGGGTTTGTATTTGCGACGCTTCACTTCAATCATAATCAGTCTCACAATGGATCAAAATGGAGCTGGGAAAGAGGCAATGAAGGACCAGAAGTGGAAGGATGAGTAGTACCTAGATGTTTTGGCTTGCCATCGTGTATTGCATTCCTGTGCATATTGATCCATTTAGAATCTTGATTCTCACTTTTCTGGTCCCATGGATTGTGTGGGTATGTGTGGGTGTGGGTAAGAATATTTGTTCCATGGTCCTGTTAAGTTCCTTCCACCAGCGTGGTGGAGCATGTAGTCGAGCAGCCTGACCGGCGGCGTGTTTTGGCACGTCCAGAAAGGCCTTTTGCTGCGGTGTGTTTTGGCACGTCCAGGAAGGCCCTGTAGGCGGCTCCAGTGGTCCTTTTGGTTGGGGAGGCTTCCGAAAGGAAGGACGTGAGCATGGCAAAAAGAAGGAATTCCGACAGATCCACAGAATTAGACGATTTCACGTTTTCACAGCACTGTTATCGTTTTCGCAACGGTCTCATCGCCACAATGTTGAGTCGTGTGACTAAATTGGATGGGGTGTTTGAAGCAGTTGCAACGTGCAACCTTGTCATCTTTCTAATGTTAAAATTGGTGGCGCTCCAGCTGAGTACCTCGAAGCCGATCATATAAGGATTCGTCCATATCAGTCCTGTTTGTTTACGTTTCCAAAGAAAGGCCCCAACACATGGGGTTGAGCATCATGGCATTCATTGCTCAATTCCACGGTAATGAGCGTCTGACGCATTTGACCACGTGGCATTGGAATCCAAGGATCTGAGAACGATGTTTCACGTCGTATAGGGACAGACCCCCGCCCAGCAACGAACCCTCAACCGCCTTACAGAAATGGAGGTAGGCCAGGAGCAGCCCAGAGCAAATGGTGGGTAGCGAAATAGAGGTAGGGCAGGAGCAGTTGAGAGAAGATGGTGGGTAGTGGAATGGAGGTAGGCCACTTCTTTGGGTCCTTGTTTCTTAGGGTCGGCATTGAGTGATATGAACATCAATCGCTTCGTATCTCACCAGCCTGTCTGACCGGCTGTGACCACCTTTCGAACTGAAAGGATCACTGGGAGCGATCTGTTTGTACAACTGCAAGCGTCAAAGGATATCTCTCGAAGTCTCCTTTCGGCCTTTGGGGCAGGGAATTGATGATCCCTAGGGCTCCTGGCCCACCTCCTGAGGTTCGGTGGTTGGGGTGGGTGCCAGGGGGGTCTAACCATCTTCTGAGGATATGGTTGGAGCCCTAGGGGATATACCTAGGATCTTATAGGATCTTCCGTCCTAGGTGTCCTGGCTGGAGGTCCAGTCTAGCAGTGGGGCTGGCTAGTCGAACGCCAGGACACTCAGACAGGATGACCCAGATCCAGACAAGGCAGCCTGTTCTGTTGTGGAACTATGGTTCTTGTGATGTTTCTGGTCACCGGTGGCCGAACAACCGACCAATCTCCCTGAACTTGTGAGGTCACAAGTTCAGGTCATGTGTTGTCATGTTTTGTTTATACCAATCTTCAGCTGATTTGGTCTACGAACTGAAGCTGGTTTCAGCCTAGCATTTGTGAGCGTCACCTGGGTTGCGGTCCTTGTGGTCCGGGTCTTGCACCACATTGACCAACGACCATCCTTCATTGTTGAGCGCGTTTATGGGGCTCGCAAAAAGAGTCTCTGACGCAGGCCACAGGACCGGCTCACACTGGTGGATGACTGGCAGGCATAGATAGCTAAGGCGACCGCCCCTGTCATGAGCAAACCCTCCTAAAATATCCTAATTTGGGTTTCGCCCTCCAACACCAGGAATCCCCTTACTAGGGTCCCAAGTCAGGCTCGTTCTTTGCAGAATGCTTTTGCTTCATCCGCAAGGGTTGCGCCAGCTGTTTGGGAGCGCACATGCGCACCCTGCTAGAAGTTTGTTCCCCTATTGCCAGGCTAGAGGATGCCCCACTGGGTTTGGGCAACCAGCTAGCTTGTTGAAAGGTTTGAGTGCTCGCAGGATAGGATGTTGGGATTAGCCATGTTATTACTGTACTGTAATGTATTGTGTATGATACGGTATGATTATATATATATATATTAGATATATACCCTGCCGGGTACATAATGGCGAAAGATGCTGCTTTGGAAGCCAACTCCGCACCATCTGAGATGTTCATCACACATCATTGACGCTTGCAGACTGTGTCACGACCCCAAAAAGGAGTCGGGCTTGTAAAGATTACAAGCGGTTCGAGATTGAGGTGAGGTGAACGAAAGTCAAAAAGGTTGTTGCCCTGTTTTTTGCCAACCAAGGACAATTCAGTCCCCTGCAAAGAGAGTTAAGTGCAACATGGCCAGTGAAGAGACTACTTTCATTTGCAAGCCACATTCTTTCATGTTCTTTCCATAGTGTTTCTTGGAGTGAAAGCGAAACAGACATATATATATATATACGATATATATATATATATAGACAGTAGTGGAGTGACGAATACCGGGGTCTTATACATTCACATATGGAGTGACGTAGTGGATTGACGTGGTGTGGTTCGTGCAGTTCAGGGTGCAGAAGCTCATGCTGGAGCGCCAGGCTAGGGTCAGTTGGAGTGCTACAACTCCCCAGTATACAAATAGAACTGGACATACGCATGAGTTCCAGGTGTTGCAAGATGTCGTCCAGGCAAGCCTGGCCTGCTGGTGGGTCAAACACGCAACTCAATGTGTTTTTGGATGTTATATGTTTCTTGTGTTTTGCCCGGTGTTTTCTTGGATATGCATTTGTTCCAATGGCTTCACAAAAGGCTTCTACAGGGCTAGAGAGGACGATGGGTCCAAGCGTTGCTGAATCTTGGGGGCAAAAATCCCTGGCTTCTCATGACTGGCCTTCCTCTACCAGCCCGGGGTGATTCACTCCACCTCCCATGTGATGAAGCAGTCAGAGTGGGTTCCTGGACTGAAAGAGGTTGGAAGCATCTCATGTGTTCTTTGGGTTGCAGCCCAATTGTCTGAGGTCGTAGAAAGCATGGGTCACGGACGGTCACGGATCTTATGCCCAAAGAATCCATGGCGAGCTTTCACCGATCAGTTGGGGTGGTTGGTTTCAGGATGTTTCAAGGGTCCAATGTTCAATATTTGGAGTCCAATGGATGGTTTGGGTTGACTTCATGTTTGTGGTTCATGTTCTGAGGGTCCTTGCTCCGCTCGAAGCAAGGAGGTTTTCCCGATGCTTGCGGACAACGCCTGCGCTCAAGGTGATAGAAATTTCTCTCAACAGTCACCAAATGACCTGCACCCGACTTCAATACCTTTAGAACATAGCACAATAACCCGAACAAAAACGAAGGGAGGAAAGCATCGGGCATGCTGCGGGAGGGCACTGCTGCGACGTCTGGCGACTTTGATGTGTTTTTTGCGTCCCAAGGTCCAACTCTTCCTGCAGCTAACCCTAAGAGAGCATGCATAGCATACCCTGAGAACACTCCATGTACAGGAATGACATATATAACCAGGGGAGGTGTTCACCATCTTTCACTTTTTTTCCCTAATCAGGCCATTTATAGGCATCTCGTCATATCTCTTCCATTCCATCTTTGTTGGGAGACAGCTGTTTTTTTGTTTAATAGCTGGTGAGCGATTCACCTAGGTACACAAAATAGCGTCCCTTCTCCAGGTCAGGTGGGCAGGGTCTTCGTACGCCATCCCCACGGTCTTTTGACGCCTGAGAGAACCTGTGGAGCCAGTCGAATGGACCTCACAGGCGGCGGCTTCGGGACCCGAAGACATGTGCATCATCGAACCCGTTTTGGGGGTGGGAGTGGGCCAGTAAGACCAGTAAGAACCAAAAAAACAGGTCTTTCACCAGTAAGGGCATTCACCTGATCAAAAATGATAACAGATACTTTCAACAAGGCTCTGGACATCGTGTTCTTTTGGGTGTGTTCAGCTCAAACCATGGACCATGGCTTTTCGTGTTCTGCGTCCCACAAAAGGAGGCCCAAATATGCCCAAATCCTTCATCCATGTTGGGATATTTTTCTTGCAGTGCGGACGGCAGCTAAACAGGAAGAATCCAAAGGGAAAAGGAAAGGCATATGATCAGATTGGTGATTTTGGTTGCTGCCATGTTTGTTGTATTTGTCCACCACCTAAACAATGCAACTAAATCAATTCCGCGGCGTGGATGGGCGAATTCAAGTGGGTGGACCAACTCAATAAAAGCCTGGTGCTTGAGCTCGCCTGATGGCCTGAAGAAAGAAGAGTGCAATTTGCCTTGATTTCAAAGCTTCATGTGACCAAGTGACCAAAAGGTTCCTCGCTTCCACCTGGATCCTCTAACGTCTAACAGGTCTAAAGTTAGGGACCCAAGATGATCAATCTCAGAGGGTGCGAGGCAAGCTCGCCTGCTGAACTTCCGGAAGCCGGTCAGGTCAGCCATGGCAGAAACATGCCCTGCCATCCCGATGCTTTATCGTCTCGAGGCACTCAGTCAAGTCAAGGATAACCAGGCTGCACGTGGCGTGTAATCGCTGCATGGTTACGTGAGGTACGTGGCTACAAGCATAAAGCGATATAAAGCGTGTTTTGCATCTGTTGTGATTCCGGAAGTTCAGGTGAACGAGATCTCCTTCAGAACTGGTTTGGATCATTGGAATAACTTTTTTGGATGAAGTACGTCCAACATAGACCCTATACAGCTCCAAAGACCTCCGTTTCTCTTTTTTCGAAGGTGGGACTGGGGACAGGTTTTATGAGGGTCTAAAGTAACTTCCAAGAAGGTATTTGGAGGTTTAGGGATATAGACCAAGATCTGAAGTTGGTGGCTTTTTTGACATCGGTGCAAGACTAGATGATTCGGTCAAAACCGTCGGCAAATGGTGATGCCAATTCACTGTCCGTTCTACCAGGTTTTTGTGTTGTCTTTGATTCCTATGACCAGTTTTTGGTGCAGGGGATGCACTCCAACTCAGATGGGTACCATGGCCCCTGGGAAGATTCTATTCTACAAAGCCATGTGGTGTCGTCATGCCAGATGGTGATGCTGGTACAACTGTGTTCCTTTGTGTTTCTGGTGGGCACTTGTTCCTTTGTGTTCCTGGTGGCCATGTTGTGCCATGAAAGTTCAATAGATCAAAAGTCCGACACTATGGGCTATTACACTCCCAGATGGGCGTTCTGGTTGGTCTCCAACGTCCCGCAGGAAGGCATCGTTTCTGCGGTTCCCGGTTACCGGGCTTCTCCACGGCGCGCCCTCTCACGCTCGCAGCTGTTCACCGAGACGGCGGCTCTCCACCTCCGGGGATCGGTCGACGCACCAGGTGCGCTGGGACCGAGAACGTCAAGAGTTCCTCCAGCAACTCCAGCGTGCCGAAGCTCAGCCGATCCGAACGTTCCGGATCCGAACGGAACGAATATGCCCCTCACTGGAGGTGTGTGGGAGGTGTGGGGAGGGGGGCCACGGACAGCTCTACGGCCAGCTCTAAAGTGTTTGCCAGATATTTAACAAAAAGATACAACAATGATCCAAAGAAGCATTTGAGAAAGTAGGGATGAAGTTAGCTTCAGTGAGCCAAGAGAGTAGAAGAGCGGGGCCAAGCTGGACTCGAATCTGGATACGGATTGTTATGTTTGTTTAACCTTTGCCGCGAGTTGGTAATGCAGAAGACGCCAGCTTTTGTGAGAATTGGTAATCTATGGTGTAAAACAGTAAAACATGTTTGGAAGTTCAGCTCCCTCATCCTTCAAACATGAACGTTCATTGCACGCTCTAAACCAGTGGCATGTTTTTGTTTGTTTTACTTGTTTTTGTGTGTGTGTGTGTGTTGAGGGGTTGTATGCTAAAGCATCGTTGCTTCCTTGGCCCACTTCTGGTTCATACTTCGATGTGGAGTACAAGCTGACTGGCGTGTTGTGGAACACTACGCGACGTCGCTCTTGAGTCCTCAGCATGTCTTTTCGCCTGATTCGATCATCACCTGATGAATCGATCGTCCGACGAGGGGACTAGGACCGGACCGTTTGTTTCTCCCCACACCGTTTACTGTTGGGGTTCTATCTTAGAACAAAAACGCTGGCCACAGTGAATCGTTTGAAACTGTTTGGGGTCTATGCTGGTATAGATTGTGTTTATGCAAGTACTTGTTTAATCCCATGGATGCTCTGTACATGGATGATTGAAGCACAGAAAGGCCAAGGAGGTGGAGAGGTGGATGAGAAGTGGCTAGTTGGATCAAACGTTTTTGGGCTGATGTAGATGATAACACCGAGTCAATCCTTTTCAGTCCTAGGTCCGGCAGAGCAGCTGGAGGATAGTACGTAGGTTGGACTTCGTCACTTCGTCCAAGACTTTTGCCAATTCCTGAGCCTATCATTTTGTTTCTCCTTCTTGCCAAACATCTAACCAATTTCTGCCCTGATGAACCAGTCCTACTCAAGGCATCAAATATGGACCCACACATGTTGGCCCCCAACGTGGGTTCCGCCAAGTTTCCAGGTATCCTGGGTGAAGTTCATTTATCCGATGATGGGGTTACACCACTATTACAGCAGAGATCTCCATTAAAGAAAAGAGAAGATCTCCATTGAACCTCCGGGCGACTACCTTGACCTTGACCAACCGGTTGGGTGGGCTTGACTTCCACATGAGTGAGTCGGAGACCTGAGACCTCTCCAAGCCGGACGTCCAACGACCACGGGCGTGGTTGGTCGCTGGCGCATGCGGCAGAGGGGGAGGTCACTCTTTGCAGCCCGGATCGATCCGGTGAAGTGCCAAAGGATCCTCCATTCTACTTTTATAAGGGCCGGGTTTCGATCCCCAGCTGGATTCCCTTTTCTGGATCCCAGCTGGACGTGAAGTGACAAAGAGGTTCTTTGCCCAGTTGGGTCCACCTCCAGGTCCCTCGGACGGACCTGTACAGAGAATGGTGCTTGCCTGGGGACCGGAGATCCGAGCGATTCGGAGGGTCCTGGACCTGGGGTCGGGGAACGAAATGCTGACTTGTGGTTAGCAAGAAATGAGGGAATGGAGATGAATGGGAATCCATGTGGTTCCTAAAGTATCTATGGTAATGGGGTCATGATCTTTTTTTTCCGAAGAGTAAAGTACCAGTCAGAAAAGGCACATTGGATCAACACACCGATTGGCCTCGAGGTTTGGAGCAGACCCTCCAGCCACGCCAGGCGAGGGAGCTGCGTCACTCGGGGTGTCTCGTCACGGTTTGAAGCTGTTTTTGGAGATGGGCATGCTCACAGTAGGAGACTAGCCATCAAATATCATAAAATGAGCGGCGCGCAAGACCATAGACTACTTGTGTATATATATATATATATATGACTATATATATATAGAAACATGTGTACTGTATCACGTAAGACGTTATGCAGACACGTGTGTGTGTGTGTGTGTTGATGTTTTTTGGGTCGAACAAACAAGATCTAGATTGACTTGCTGCTGCCGTATACAGACCTTGACAGCAGTGGCAGGTTGATAAAGACGTTTGGCACTTTGACATTCCATGCAGATATTCCCATTGTCTATCCGAAGGGGCTTCATTTTGTTGCAAAGAGATGACGCTTGAAAACCCACTGACCACTCTTTTGGTTCAGAGTGTTATTTCACGACCCAGCTTCGAGGAATTGAACATTTGCATGGAGCCTGCTGGGGAACATACGGTCAGTGTGAACCACACAAGAGCGACCAAGGTTCTGTTCGAAGCCCGGCCCTAAATCCTCATAATGAGTCGAGTCTTGATTCATAAAGCCCCCATATGAAGAGATGTTTGTCAATCCAAGCGGGTGGATGTGATCCATCAAGAGTCCACAAGAGACCCTCTGAGAGGGCCTTGTGTTCCGCACTTGTTATGTCCAACGACCGGATTCCTTTGGGAGATGCTTTGAGGAACATGGCCACAAGGGCATAGGACCACAATACATTTGTTTCCATGGCGTTCAATCAGGGTCCTTACTCCTTTGTTCACGGATGAGTAGGGGAGAGGATGGTAGCCGGGCCTGTCCAGTGTCAACACAAACACGTTTTTGAAGTTGGCCAGGTGCAGGACTGATTGAGGGCATCAATGTTGCAGAGCGTTGAAGGGTGAAGACTTCGTAAAGCCAGCTGCTTGTGGAAACGATGGACATTGGACAACTTACACAACTGGCCAGCTGAAGGAAGGCTAGTGAGGGAATGGTGCACCCTTTGCCCTCCGTATAGAAGGTTATTATTATACCCTAGGGATCCAAGCACCCTCTCAGAAGGCACCTGGACCCTCCAAACCCACTCCAAACACCTTCTGAGAAGGCACTTGGATCCCTAGGGATAGGTTATCCAACATTCTGGATCATGAGTCCAGATGGCCCACCCGTCTTGCGACTCTCGCAGGTACGGTACTGGCCCACCAAATTCTGGTCATTCTCGCAGAAGCCCCGTATACACCTCCATGCCCCTTAGTTTCCCTGCTCGCAGCTCTCGAAATCCAGAATATGCAATTGCAGCTGGACAGAAAAGCCCAGAGGCTACAGATAGATGCGTTGAACACAGCCTCTGAAGCTGATGCTCCAATTGGGGACTGTTGATGAAAGAGTCAACATGAGATTATCATCAAACACAAATCTGTCTACCTGGAGTCTCAGTTCGTACCTCGGAAAATGGGTACAGTCGTACCTGTCTTTATGGGGTCATGTCCCATTTTCTAAGTTACTGGGTCAGTCGGGTCCGGGTGGACCCTCTGAGACGGCCAGCAGGATGCTTTGTCCGCACCGCCAGGAGGATGCCACCAGCTACGATTTGCCCGGATGGCCGGGCACTTGGGAAATCGGCGTAGAATCAAGACCAGAAGGTGAATACTGGACACCTCCTGTACAGAATGTATACTGTACATGTATATCATGTTCTGTATTAAGGGATTTGTATTTTAGACATTGTAGGTTTGTAGATATTGTAGGTGTTTATTGTCATCATATTGGAAGTTAGCATTTGCTTGGCAAGCTGTGGCCGGGCTCGCCCGCGCCACTTTGCGCGGACGGTGATCCTGAAGGTGTCACAGGTACGAACACCACCGGGGACGGCATGGCGATGAAGTGCGACATGTCCATTGATAGATCATACCCTATAGGGCTCCAACCACCTCCTGAGGTTCGGTGGTTGGGGTGGGTTTTGGAGGTCTAATCACCTTCTAAGGATATGGGACAGGAGCCCCAGGGATATGCAAACAGTTATTTTTTGTTGGGAGGGATATCAGGACGATTAAGGAGAATGAGCTTCCGAGCTTCCGAATGGCAACTCGCTGGTTTCTGAACATGTGGAGACTAACTCTGACATACTTATAAACCATATTCCTTTGTGTCACGTCCCATTATTAGGGTGTGAACTGGAGGCTCCAGGCAGGTATGATTGAATGGCTCCAGCTGAAATTCCTAGCCTTGACATGCCTTGACACTAGAAATCAAACAGCCAGCCTTCATTTTTTTGGCACACTGATAAGAACATGGAAAAGAAACACGGGACCATTCAAAGAGTCCTTTGTGACTCCCTTTGGACTACCCTGCGCTATTACTTAGTTGCTTTCATTAGACAGCCCATGAATGTGTTTTAGTGTGCGTATGTTCCTTCTAGCGGATGCGTAAGTCCTTCTGGTTGAACTATGCGAAAACGATCGAAGCTTGTGTAATGCAGTGTTTGGCTCAACTCTGCGATCCTACGCTCTTATCTTCGAGGATGTCAGCTGGTTATGGAGGCCGTCCGCTGGGACGCTTCGCTTCGACCAGGGGGGTTGGATTGGACATGACCAAATCAGGCCTTCGGACCATGAGGCCTTAGCAGTCTGAAAGTTGGAACTGCAGATCCAGATCCGGTCGGCCTAGGGCCCAAGGTAGCGTCCGATCGCTCCGTTCGTCGCGAGGCCAGCCCCGAGAAGTAGGGTCCTTTGTTCCTAGTAGTAAGGCCTAACATCTTTTCTTTATCATTGGAACATGTCAGGGGAGCATTGTTCGGAAGACCCATGTGTGACCCATGTCCGTTGCCCTGGAGGCCCTGATGTTGCAGCCATGAAAGACCCCAAAAGCTTGAACAGGGCAACCTGACGAGTCTCACTCAGACAGCATCTAAAGCGCTTGGATCTCTTGATCATCATCCGTGTCATCATCATTGCGCTATTCTTAGCATGAAGCCCAATGGTTTCCTTGTACATGCAAGCTATTCTTATCACAATAACGCTCATCCATCAGTTTGGACTATATACTATACCACCTATAGAGATGAACATCGGGAGAGAGGACGGGTCGCAACCCTGAACAGAGAGACGGGCAAGTGTCGACAGTGGCGGCTGCATGTAGATTGAAGCTTTTTGAAATCATTAGAATACATGCACTCCCTTGTGAAGCGTGCTCCCACGAACGGTGATTTGGGTTGCAGTGGATCTGAATGGAAACTCATTTTGGGGGACGCCCCCAGTCCTGGCCAGCTTTCCAGGAATAAAAAAGGGTCCCGTGTCCTGGACGTTGATGCAAGATGCGTTTTGAGTCTTGAGAGGAACTCCCACACTCAGGACGGTCCAGCGAGCCGCGAGTCGACGGAGACAGATCGGATTGGGCCAGTCCAAGACGGCCCGGCCAGGTGACCGGAGCAGGGCAGATCAGATTCTGGCGCAGCCCGATCTTTTGCGTTGCTGGGCTTCTTTTAGAGCCGGAGTGGGGCGCTCATGGCGCCCCACTGGCGCTCGTCTTCTTTTTTGGGGTTGGGCGTGTTTCACCCAACGAGGAACGGGGGGTGAGAAAGTTCCAGCTTGGACAGGGCAGGGACTTGTGGATGCCAAACGCAACTTGAGAGTCTGTTCCAGTTAGAGGCTAATAGAGGCTAGTCCTTTGAGGGAAGAAGACTCGCAGGGTGACACCTGCTGTCGACTGTATAGACGATCAATTAATTGGTTGTCCAAGAGGGCGAAGAGTAAGGGAACCGAAGCAACAATACGGGTTCTCAGAGGGCACGATGAGGAGGTTGAGGACACGAGGACCGATTCCACTGCGGTCAGGGCTGGGTGGATGCACGTCGGTCGCAGCTCAAAGGGTCGCTGGCTAAGCCTTGGAGACTTAGCAGCACGTCTAGGAGGAGTGTTCGGAAGTGGGAGGCCGAGACAGGCTCAGGCTCACCAGGTTTGGTCCACACCTGACTTCAGGCCTGGGTGACAGTGACAGCCAATAGAAGCAGAGGATTCTACTCATGCATCAGAACTGAGTGAAAAGTTGCATCACACTGCCACACTCAAGCATTGCTTGACACATTGAAACTTCGAAGGTGTATCATAGCTTCTGTTTGGTGTGCAGGGCAGGCCCGGCCTTGTTAAATCGAAATGACAAGCCATTGACAGGACACCTTTTCATCTCTTCCCGCCAAAAAAACTGCAACTTTTTGTCTCGGGTGAGGCAAGAACGATGAGTGGTGCCAAGCTTGGACGTCGGCATTTTGCGACGCCTTTTCGGCACGGGTGAACAACTGCAGGGATGGACCTTTAGGTTGGCGACGCCGTTACCTGAATTCCACGTTGGAGCACTAATGTGAGCCTCTCTCTAGCAGACCAATCCTTCCCAAATCGCACCGGGCAAGCACTGCGTAAATAGTTAGTTATATGATGAATATATCATGAATCGGCAGAATCAGCTGGAACGACCCTTCTCCAGCGATCTGTTCCAGATCGATTTGACACATCCTCAATGTACCCATTCTCTATCAAGAATTCTATACCAGCAGTCACAAAGGGGTGCGATCCATGAAGGTTAGGGGTGCCCAGCTACTCCACTCACTTAGGGACCAAACACCACCCCGAGCTCTGTGACTCCTGGTATATTTCAACACCGCAGGGCTTACAGGGCAGTTCCATTTGCGGTCGTCTTTCCAGACTAGGCCAATGATCACTCTCAGTGTCGTAGGTCCTAAGGTGTTTTTCCATTACAGGGGAACACCAGTTCTTATCCTCCGGTTCATACCCAACGGCCTCAATATGATAGCCTTGCTCCTCATGATGTCCTATATATCTCCATTCATTTCCACTCTGTTCATTCCCAAATCCCTGGAGCACCCGCTGCATAGCAGCCGGCATGTGGGATGTGTTCATTTCGTTTGCGCAAGTCACCAGGACGTTTGGTGCCAAACGCGTTCCGTGCCAAACGCTCCACCTCCGGTATACCTTGGCTCCGCCTGAGGCGTAACGATAAGGAGCTCATGTTGCAAGTCCTGGCGCGCCAGGCGTTTCTACGAGCATCGCGCGTGCCGCGCGGAGCATCGGCGCGGAGCATCGCTGCGTGGAGATCAGCATGAGAGCCTCCGGTGGTGGCGCGAGTCTCGGACACCGCCGGGTCGGGCAACAGAAACACCACCATGCATACCAGCTGCTTCCAAGGGGTTACCAATGGACCACCCTACACTGCTTATAGGTCACCAGACAGCACCCAGACAGGAAGTGCTAGGGCGCCCAGTAGTTCCATCGAGTTGGAGGAAGTCGGGATGCTCAGTAGTTCACGGCCCCTGGATGGGACTAAAAGCCACTGCGGTCGAAGCGCTTGGCATTCTGCACTTGGAAATCCTTTGCTACTTGTAAGAAGATGTGGAGGTGGCCTCAGAGAACAAGACTCACCAGCGGCCCACAGGTGATTGGGGGGTGAATGGACACCCCGAATCAGCTCTTTGAAGGGGGGCCCCTGGTAGACCATATCAGCTTTGAGGGTTCACTCTTCGAAGTACCCGAGCAGCTTTCTGCAGGGCCAATTGCTACGCCACTGCAGTGAAGCTTTGAAGCATCTGGGCTAAGAATCACGGCGAGTTTTTCGCGGAACGTCATTCGGGCGTTTAGGCTACACGTCCATCCTCCTAGCTTCTGAGGAAGGTACCCGGTACGACCCTCGTCCTCCGTGCCTCAGGTTCGGTACGACTGGACCTCACAAAATTCCCAGACACTCCATGTCTGTCATATATGCCGATCAATTGACCCCCCTGGCACCACCCGATTGGCACCGTCTCAGGCATCAGGCAAGACCCTCCAGTGTCGAAGCACTTAGTGCTTCGGGCCCGTACCCTCCCGGAGGGTGGATCCGATCTCCTGACAGTCCCCCGGTCACGGGGGCAGGCGCCAACAGCAGCTCTCTTGGACCCAGGGCGCCCGGCCGCGGTCCACTGAATCGCTGAACTGAAACCAGTTGGACTTCGCCGGCTGGGTATCAGACATGAATTGCGTCCCGTTTGTGGGCAGCCACAGCTTGGAAAGGAATCCATTTTAGCTTCTGTGGAACCTTTTTGGGGGGAAAATATCCAGCTGGGACACCCACTCTAAAGCAGCTTAGATATAACATATCCAGCTCGCACCTGGGACATGTTCGGCGTTTCGAGGTCGGACGTGGATGTGGTCCTCACCGCGGTCAAGAACGACGGAGATGCCGTGCAGTGCTCGGTCTTAGCATTTCGGGGGGGGGGTGATTGGAAGGTGAATCCTTTGCAAGAGCCGGGAGAAGTCCTTTTTGCAAGTTGACAGACTTGGTGGGAGAGTTTCTATTGGAACCTTTCGGTCACAGGTTCTGTGAGTTGCTTGCGTGAAGCCAGTCGCTGGCTTTCCCTTCCGTGACTCGGGGTGTTTGTTGGCGATTGGGCATGAGCGTGATTTGCCGGTTGGTTCTGTTCTTTTCAATTTCGGCCGCCACCCTGCCGATGCAGAATTCTGCCCATGCAGAAGGAGCATGGGGATTGGAGATTTGTCACCGAGGGGCAGCCGCACGGACCGTCCGCGACGCGAGGCACGACGTGTGTTTTGGGT